ATGGATCATTGAACAAATCAACCCAGAGTTCTCGCTTGAGGTACAAATGACCAGGCTCAAATTATCCTACTTCAGACACATTATGTGAAGATCTAGCTCTCTGGAGAAGGCTCTGATGCTGGGAAAGCTGGAAGAAAAGAGGAAAAGAGGATGACCAGCAACAAGGTGGATAGACTCAGTTATAGTAGTGATGGGGGCACCATTGGAAGACCTGAAAGACCAGGTTAGGGACAGATTGTCAACGAGAAAATCTATCTATCTATGTGGTCTCTAAAAGTTGAACTTGATAGCACATTATCAATCTATCAATCAATCAATCAATCAATCAAGAAAGTGCCTACAAAATATTGATTTCTCCTAGAAATTGGTTACTCCCATGGGAAAAAAGCAATCATAATTAACAAGACCTGAAGGCTATTGTTCTAAGTTATTTTTCTGAATGAAAAAGCTGGATGAACCATTCTAACCAAAGCCAGTATGTTGTATTTACTGTATTTTTGTTACAGGATTTGTGCCCTTCTGCTTTTTATACTTCAGTTGTCTTCTCTATAGCTATAATTGAAAAAATCATAGATACCACTTTAATAATGATAAGAAAAAGAATGATAAAATAACACCAAGGACAACTATAATAAATATTTGGAATCAGGTCAGATGGCTATGGATAAAAACTGGAACTCCATGTAAAGCAGGAGGAGTATGCACAAAAAGACAAATTGATACCCTAGACTCCTCAATGAATGCTTAGGGATCACCTGCAAGTGCTGATATGCAGAAAGTTTATTTGGATTTGGCCTCTTTCTGCACTGAGTCACTGAGTCTTTTGGCACCAATAGCCCTTTGTAATCTTTGGTATAACAGCTGGCCACTCAACCAAATTTAGTGATCTGTCATTTTTCCCTCTCCACTGCCCAGCTGCTGCAAATATAAGGGAGGCGGAAAACAGGTAGAAATGGGGAAAAAGAAGTGAAGAAAATCTTTACTCTGATTGTGTGTGGTGCACGGTATGTATACTTGTGTTGGAGTATGTGACACTATTGTGCATGCTGAGGACAGAAAGCATACCCCACCCATTTTTAAGTTCCCAATGTGCCAATGAGATAGATTAGTTGGCAAGACACTGAGTGTTCCTAGATTACCAAGGAAGAGTTATGAAAGAAAGGTATCTGGTTCTCTGGTTTATATGAAGCCAATATGCTTGGAAATGACTTTGGTTAATTGGTTCACTTACAGACTTCCACTTCCACCCTCAATCTATTCCCATTTGGGGGCCAGAGTTTTATGAGACTATACAATGCTGCTTCAATGTGATCAACAGTGGAATCACCCTAAATCAACTTTGTGGTTCAACAGGTTCATCTTTTTCAAAACAGCAATCCTATTCCTCTGCTCCTCCAAGAATAATAATGGCTTTTTCTTTATCTTTCACAGAGCTGGCACAGTTACTGCATTTATGAGTCCGGGGGGAGGGCAAAGGCAACAGTCTTCCATTTTGAGAGTTCACCACTTTATTGCATATTTATTTTCATTCTGATTTTAAATGGCATTGCGTACTACCCTAGCATTAATGTTTATAACATGAGCACTGACATGTCTTTCAAAAATAAAATATATAATGTTCAAAGAAACATCCCTCACTGATTTTCATAATGGCCAGTTTAAGACAGTAAAGAACATGGCTTAGCTAAATCAAGCCAAGTAGCCTGGGAGGATGGGGGTGGGAGGAATTCCATAATTGGGTAGGGTATAGCAGCTTCCATCTCATTGTGTCGTAACACTGTCAATAAATCTGAACCATAACTGTACAATATCAAGGAATGCCATTAGAAAAAAAAAGGATAAACTTATATTCTTACTTTCATCTTGTATGTATGCGTTCCAGTCAAATGGGGTAATATTCAGTGTACTGTTTTCTCCAAATGTAGTATTAAATAGATCGGTATCATTGGAATCTGTAGAATTTGGTGGATTCCAAAACAAACATTTATGCCTCAAGTTCCCCATGAACAGTTGGAGTCCTATGAGAGCAAAGACACTCAGACAAAACACCGTCAGAATCATCACATCAGACAGCTTCTTCACAGATTGAATGAGAGCTCCCACAATTGTCTTCAGACCTGGAAGCAGAAGAACATCATCAGAACAACTGCAAAACCAGATGAAAAAACAGAACAAAATGGTGACCCCAGTAATGTTAAAGAAACTCTCATGCAGAAGCTCAAATCAATGGTACTATTGGTTTGTGAACTAACATTTTAAATGGTTCTGTCACTTGTGACAATGTATTTTGTGAGGATGAGGCCCAGAAGTGTATGCTCCTTGAAATTGTGGATGAAAATGTATTGTGCTTCGTTAAACAAAGAATAACTTGTTTTAATGATAAAACAAGTGATTGTGCTATCATGCTTTTCCCTCACAGAGGAAATCTTCCAATCACACTAAGCCTAAGCATGTTACACCAAAGGAAGGACTGCGGCTATCAGTGCAGTTTGCTCCAGCAAAAACACATTTAGGCATATGGATTGGAATGGATTAATGGCTTTTTTTTAGCTGCCAACTTCTCTTGACCCAAACCATCAGGTTTATAACACCTAATTCTTCCCTTCCATTAAATTAAGGTAGTAGAAGAAACTAAAATTGAAAAAAATGATAGTCTCCTATGCACACATGCTCTCTCTCTTTCTCCTCTCTTACATATCTTACTCTTTTATATGTGACAAATTTCAGATATTTCAAGATGCCCAATAGCGAATCAGACATTAACCTCCATTAAAGTACTAAGGACAAACATTTTCCATTTTGCAGGTAAAAAAAGACATGGCTAAACCAAGATCACATGGTTATGCTTTTGTCACAGCTTGACCTCAAAGCTTGACATTCTATGATGTAAATCACACAGGCCATGTTCTGCAGCATGTCATGCAACAATGTGTTAAACGCAAAGGCTGATTTCAAAAATGAACAAGCAAATGGCAAAAAGCAAAGGATCACAAGATTCATTTCTTTCAACACATGATTCCTGCTTTTTTCTTCTTTGCCCTTTTAGATGAATGAGCAAGCAACGAGGCTTATGGTGAAAAAATGTGGTTTCAATTCCCATGGAGTCCAAGAGTCAGCCTCTGGGTTTAACCTAGCTCTCACCTGGGATGACTGATATTGTTTTCAATGCCCGGAGAACTCTGAATGTTCTCA